GAAGACCTTTTTGGCTACGTGTTAAATGTGCCTTTATGGAACAGGCTTTGGAATAATCTTACGCTCGACAGGCATGATAATTACCACTTACTGCTGTATTCCTAGAAACATTGAATGATTACTCATCTATTCCTTGACTGAACAGATCATGTGGCACGCTAGTTTTACAGAAAATATTTGACCGAAGACTGTTACTATATGGCAAACACTTCATGTTCACAGAAACAGAAGAAGAACACGGAAAAGAACAATGGAAAGAGGAAATTAAAACCAAAGGCCTAGGCCTAAATTCAAATCAAGACAAACAGCAAACCCTTGAAGAGAGGAAGAGGGGTATCGGAAGAGGGATATTTTCACTCGAAGAGGGATACAGAGCAAACACATCCTCTACTTTTCATAATAAATCTACATCCAATGAATTGAAAAACTTATTTATATAAACTATACCTTAGGAACAATTTTCTGCTATAATATATCAATCGGTGCGGTTTAAGTTCGGGTCACTTTGTCCGTCAGTTTTAATCCAAACCTCTTAACCAAAAATAACCCAGAATCAAACGCTTTTTCGTGTTTCATTGGTTAAGGGGTTTGGATCAAAGTTACCCCCCAGGGTCCGGGCACGCTACCATAGCAGCGGTAAGACCCCTCTTTGAGGAGTGGCTTGAGAGACGCCACGGCGTCCTCACCTTCCGTCTGACGCAGGTGCTTACCGGGCACGGCAGCTTCGGTAGGTTCCTGTTTCGGATTCAGCGGGAGGAAACGCCCGAGTGTCGTCATTGTGAGGACCACCTAGAGGATACGGTGGAGCATACGGTAGCGGTATGCCCTGCCTGGGCTGAGCACCGCCGTATCCTCAGGGAAGTGATCGGCGGCGGCGACCTCTCGCGCCCGGCCTTAGTCGAGGCCATGGTGCGGAGTGAGAGGAACTGGGACGCCGTCTCCTCCTTTTGTGAAGCAGTCATGCTCGCAAAGAGAGAGGCGGCCCGCGTGAGGGAGCAATCCTCCTCCTCACGCCCCAGCAGCCGCAACTGGCGACACTACGGGCGTCGGGGATCGAGGGACGATCTCCGGCCACCGTAAGTACGGGCCTGCGGTCGGCGAGTAAGGGCAGCTCGCCGCCCTACAAGAACCAGGCCCGAGCGTACGGCGCGTAGCGTTCCGCGCGCGCCTCAAAGAGCCAATAGACCACCACAGACGGGGCCCTAAAGGGCTGATGTTCAGCCGGGGTTGCGGGGTAAGCGCAATGAGGTACCGCGACCTCGGCACAGAGCAGGAGAAGGAACAGGGGGGTTTTTAGTCAGTAAGAGTCTGACACTCCCTCCTGCCCGGCCCTGGGCGGGAGAAGTCATTTGATGATTTTCCCCTCACAAAAAAAAAAAAAAAAAACCCCAGGGTAACCAATACATATTACATATGAAAGAAAGAAAGAAAGAAAAATAATTTATTGGTATGGTAACGATTACCAAAAGCTCATTGAGTGCGTGTTTTTCAGAGGTCGTTCATAGCTTTAATATACCTACGCAGTAGGTATATTAATTTTCATGCAGACTTACTCAAATAAATTCCGTGTTGTAATCGACAATACAGATTTGGGCAAAAGGAAATAACTCAAGAATATAATTATGATACTCTAGCTACATATTTCTTGACACAAACTTGGAAGGTGATAATAATTGAGACGAGTGGTAACATTGAAGTGATTAGAGGGTAGTTGTGAATTAAAACATCATGTTCTTAATTTGAATAAGGTTGAACTGGAACGTGATTCGACAAAAGTATACATTATCAGCCTATAAGTCCACTGCTGAGCAAAGGCCTCTTCCCACAAGGAGAAGGTTTTGAGTATTAATCAACACGGCTGCTCACTGGCGGATTGGCGATTTGAAACTTATAATTAATTAGACATTATAAGTCACTATGTTTTCCTTCACCGTTTGTGTCTCAATATTCATAGAAAGTACATATAACTCCGAAAAAGTCACATTGGTACTTGTACACAGTTACGAAGCAGCACCCTCAAAATTGGAGGGATACTGAGAGCCTATTTTCCGTTGCACTTCTTGAAAATTAAACAAGAGGGCGATGGCATTTGTTTCAAATGATTTTTTTTTAACCCTGGATCCCTGGATGTACTTTCGCAGCTTACCTTACTTAACAGTAGATGTTAAATCGCTATACGCGACTGTTTTTACACTGAGTATCTTGTAATAATGAAACCAAAACCATTAAACAAAACGTTGACACACCGCCCATGGAAGCCCGCAACAACAGAGAAATTACGAGTGCGTTGGCGTCCTTGTGAGTATTAGGGATTTGGAGATTAGGAAGGGATTGAGGGAGGGGAAGGATTGGGCTTCCGGTAACCACTCACACGTTGAAACAATGCTATGGTTATTTCATGCCGTTTTTTCTATGAGACCGTGGTATCCCTCCGGTCGAACCGACCCATTCGTACGCAAGCATGGCTCTCGCACACTTCGATATTACCCAAAAAATATAGGTACTTACGTACATATTAATTGTAACTTTGTAACTATATGTTATAGAGTCCTAAATTATTTAAGGCTTGCAAGACAAGAGGAAACAATAAATATTTAGTTGTACGTTGTAATGCGGTTACACACGTACGGGTCACGGTCGTCGAGTAACGTGAAGCAATGTGTGTACCAACCTTTATAGCCGTTACAAGCTTACGATACGACAAGCTGATTTTATTATGACATTACTTACCAACATTTAAGAATAATATCAACATGATATTTTTATCTCCTAAGTGGGCCTCCATATTCCTGGCTGGAATTATTATGTGAAAAATGACAATCTACCACTACGACCACCTAATATATTTATACAGGGTAAGGATTGGGCCTCCGCGCCGGTAACCTCACACCTCACACACGGCGAAACACAACGCTATGGTTGCTACATGCCGTGGTATCACTCCGGTCGAGCCGACCCATTCGTGCCGAAGCATGGCTCTCCCACACTTGTTTTAGTGGAAGACCAAATAGGTCATAACGAGAGGACCTATTAACACAACAGTATCTAAGAGAACGGGAGTGTCTCCAAGACGATTTTTAATTACTATGAGGGGCCGTTCAAGTATTACGTAAGCACCAAGGGGGGGTGGGGGGTCTCTGTTTTGCTTATTTTGGATGACATGGGGGGTGGGGGGGTCTAGATGATGATTACGTCATCGTTAGTTATTCAAGTTTTTTCGGGGATTCCCGCAAATAATACATATGCGTAGGCACTCGCTTTGAGAACTGATTAGGGGAATTACCGCGCATTAGGGAAATTACCGTTCGCTATTCACTTGTCTAATAATTCGCTCTCGTGCCGGTCAGCTGCAAGTGCGCATCTATCAGTATTGTTTTGTTTGGATTCTAAACGTATTGTAAGCATTGAAAGTTATCATTTGAGTTTATGTTGATGCAATTAGCCAAAGTTTAACGTTTTAATTATTTAAATTTAAATATCTTATTAGAATGTCATATCATATAGACAAATCCAAGTTATACCAAAAACTGTTCGAAAGTTTTAAAAAATCTCATACTGGGACAAAAGTGCAAAATGTACAAAAGTTAGTTAACGAAGTTTGGCGAAATTATAAATTACAAGCAAAGACAGATAAGGAACTAGATATTATTGTATCTAAGAGAATCGAAGAAGAATTATTGCAAGCGGCAACTAAAAATAAATCCAATCTGCTTCATTTTTTTTCCAAGGTGAGTAAATATAAGTACAAAGTTTCTCTTTACGTTCTGTAACAATTAAAACGATTTATGAGTAAAAAATATGATGGCCTATCTCAAAGTAAAAAGGTAAATGATTGATATTTTATTTCTTAAGATTGACTCCGGCAATTGGTCACAAAATACACGGTGTTTTCAATATCTGTATGTGAAGGGTTTCTATGGGGAAAAGCTTTCAATAATATTTAAACGCTGGTTTTATTAAATACGATGAGTTTATGTAGCTTAATAAGAGAATATCCAGCAGAACTCTTAGAAATTTTTCATTTTTAGGCAACGTCTTCTACCAGTAAACCTGCAGAAAAAACACAAAATATACAGCCATTTTCTAACATTGAAAAACAGAAAGAAGATAAAATTAAAACCGGCAATGAATCACAAGAGCAATGCGAAAATAATGATAATGCAGATAAACAAAGAGCAAAACCTTCTCAAGAAGCTTTGAAAAATAAGATTACTCTACTCGAAAAAAATCTGAACGCTTTGTATTCTGCCAGAGATACTATGCCAAATTGCGCTGAAGTTGATAAACAGATCATTAAGTTGCGCGAGGAACTAAAAACAGCAAAAAAAACTTTAAACAGGAAGATTCAAAACGCAGTTGCCCAGAAGAAACACAGGGATGGTATGAAAAGAAAGTTAGAAGATATTTGTCAGGACAATCCTGAAATAAAAAGAAGACTATCTCTGAGGGATTCAGTAGGACATCCTAAACTTGAAAGCGATCAACCATTACTATTGAAAACAATTGCGGATATAGCTTTATTTGGGAGTGCATGTGATGACAGGAGACGAACGGAATCTATTCGCAGCGTAAAAACTCTTGACGAACTCACACAAGAACTGCGTAAACTAGGATTTGACATTAGTCGCAGTGCGACATATCTTCGTTTGATTCCCAGAAAATCGAATTCTACAGAGGGACGAAGACATGTATCGACAGTCCCTGTTAGGCTCATTCGGGCTCAAACTGATTACCACAAGAGCCACTTAGATAGCAAGTTCGCTGAAACATCAATCCATTATTTAGAGAACATAGCATCCATACTTGGACCAGATCAAGTATTTTTCTTATCTCAAGATGACAAAGCTCGAGTCCCTATTGGCGTAACTGCGGCAAATAAGCAAGCACCTCTTTTAATGCATATGGAATATAGAATCAAATTACCTGACCACGATTGGGTTATCGCTGAGCGTCATAAATAAATACCATCTGTTTATGCTGGTATCAAAGTCACTTCCAATATGCTAGGACAACCGCAAGCCGTCGGATATTCTGGGCCAACATTCATCGCTATTCGAAGTGGAAAGTATAGTTCATCTACTGCTAATACTCATGCTCAGGATTTCGAGACGCTTCTCGAACTTGAAGAGTTTCGACCATTAGCAAAAACTGACCATGGACTAGTAAAACCAGTAGTAATTATGACGGTTGATGGAGGGCCAGATGAGAATCCGCGTTATCAAAAAGTCATAGGGTTTGCTATACAACATTTTAAACGACATGATCTCGATGCATTGTTTATAGCTACCAATGCTCCTGGAAGGAGTGCGTATAACAGAGTGGAGCGAAGAATGGCACCTCTGAGTCGGGAACTGGCTGGTTTAATACTGCCTCATGACCATTTTGGGTCTCATTTGGATGAACGTGGCGTTACAATTGATGAACAATTAGAAAGATATAATTTCGAATTTGCAGGAAATGTATTAGCTGAAGTATGGAGTTCAATTGAAATTGATGGCTATAACGTTACTGCAAAATATGTTGAGGCTGATGAACAAGATGTTCCTGACTTTCCGGATATTAAATGGTACTCAGAACATGTGCGTGAAAGCCAATACTTGCTTCAAATTGTAAAATGTAAAAATACAGAACGCTGTCGTCCAAGAAGTGGCCTATTCAGATTACTAGACAACAGGTTTCTTCCACCACCTGCAAAAGTAAAACAAGCAGTTGATGACTTGGTTTTGGATGAAGGAGGACAATTTCTTGATCTTCCAGTCAATTTAGCTCTACGCTTGAGTACTACCCTCAAAGATTTTTTGCAAATGCCCTACGATTATTTTTGTCCGACGGTAAAATTGAGGCTCTCAAGCCGAACATGCAAAACGTGTGGTCTTTATCATGCTTCCGTCAAATCATTAAATCGTCACATCGAGAAGACCCATAAAAAAGTAAACACGCCCACAGAGGGAAAAGTTAGATCTGTAAGAGTCGCTGCTCGTCGTGCTAATGAACTGATGTGCATTATTCAAAATTTAGAGCACCAAGATGTTGAATGGCTCGATGAGAGTGACGTAGACATTCCAAAATCGGATGAAAATGAGCAGACTCACAACACTGAGCAGCAATCCAATGTCATCGATAACTTAGAATCATGGATTCAGGTTTCATGGACTGAAGACTGTTAATGTGTTCCGAAAATATTCTTTATGTTAGTTATGTTCTTTATTTCTGATTATATTTTTTGTCATTTACTCTATGTGTATCAGTTAAACCTAATATTTCCATGAATTTTCCTATTTTAAAAATAACAATATAAAAAAACATTTATTACTAAAAATGTTTACGTAATCATAGGGGGAGGGAGTAAGTGCTTTGCTTATTTTTTATGACAAGGGAGGCGGGGGGGTAAAAAATGGTAAGAAATCTGCTTACGTAATACTTGAACGGCCCCTGAGTATTAAATTATTATAATTCGTGGTCTCATTAAATAACTTTCAAATGCCTATGAATGTCATTAACGGCTTGAAATGCAACCTATTTGACGCTTAAATCTGTTCTTGTTTACCATTTTGGTCGAGTTAATAGTCATTTATAATAATCATTATGCAACAAATATTTCGGTCACGGTCTTAAAGCAATTTAATTAATAAAGGAGGTTTATTTCTTAGATATTTATAATACGAGATCATGGCGACATTGTATTGTTGATACTTACCTATAGTGTGTTTATTTGCGATAAATATTTCACTCTACCTTTCAATGGTGGGTATTCGAAACAATAGAAGAACTACCTATACGTGCACGAACGCCGGAGTTCGCTTGGGTTTGATACATTTTTAGCTTTCTGTATATCGAGTTCGTTCACTTATTGCCAATAGTATTTGTGTTAAAATTGCCTCAAATTACAAACAGTGTTACTTACATAAAGTTTACCAAATCAAATGTCAGTTAATATTCACGAACACGAACTGATGTTTCAAAACAGTGTGTGTATACTGTATTTACATTCTGTGGTCGTGCGTGGATTTACTTTTACTTTCGATACTCACAAATAACCGGTCCGTCGAGGTTAGTCCGAGGAATGCGCCACCAGCAGAACAATACAGGATAGTTTCTAAGCACTGATCGTGAACCAAATAAATTTATAACTTCACACAAAAAACTCACACCGATTTCACACGATACACTTTGCAAGTTTGTTTTTGTCGAACTGAACGGTAACAACAAAATAAATTATTGGTTAAACCTGCGTTTAATTTAAGCAGTTAATTCGACTGGATTGTTTAAATTTATCACTGAGTTCGTCTCATTAATTAATTAAAGGTTATTTTTATATTTGTTAAGATTTAAAGTTTTTGTATCGAGTTCCGAAGCCGCGGCGGCGTCGCGTACGTTTCGCTCGGACAGCCTTTCGCAACTGGTAGGTATGAATGGAGTTGTCGGCGCGAGACGCGAGACGCGGGCCGCGCAAGTTTACCAAGTTGTTAGTAGGCGGAACACTAATGTGAACGACTTTATAAAATTCTAAGTACTGTTTTCCAATGATCAGTTGATATGGCAACTTTGTGTAGCCCTTTTTATTGTAGGTTCTATTACTATTTAGGGAGAATTTAATTTAGGTAGGTATATCAGCAATAGCACTGACCTTTTAGTAGGTAACACATCATCCATTTTGTTTACCAACTTATAATAGTAGTACTAGGTAGCTTGAAAAGTAAGTAGGTACTTACCTAAACTTTGCTTTTTCATCCTATTCAATGGTTATTTTTTTTTAGGAATTCTGATCCAGTCTCGTCTAGTCTATGTCACAGTAAAAATGTAGATATTATTACCTTGTCTATGTCTACCTATTTCAGTTGTAAAAGTCATAAAATAGGTACCTACCCAATGACGTATTATGTCATTGGGTAGGTACCTATTTTATGAATAGTACTTTTATTATTATTATTAGTTTTATACATCATTGTACCTACCTACCTACGTAGCCAAACTGGTTTCGGGTTTTTAGATTAACCCAAAATGAGTCATCGTGAGTTGTACGTAACGAACCAAACTCATAGCGTTTTGTTTTGTCATTAATTTTGTTTCCAAATTAAAAAATATTTACTACTTACGATTGCGGTAGGTATCCGGTGACTGTATGTGGTATTAACCCAAGTTTAATTATCGTTTAGCATACGCACCTTATTAGTAACGAGGACAAAGATTTAACTAAATATTATATTAAGTATTTGTTATTTATTATGCGTTTAATTGAAATTATTACAAGGTTTATTCTTGAAGGACTGTAAAATAAATTATGTGGGTATTTTAAGTAGGTAATAATAATAGAAAAAAATTAAATACGTTCTGTGACGGTAGGTCATCATTGATTCTATGAAATCGTGTATTAATTTTGTAGGTACCTATAGTATTAAGCAAGTTTTATATTATACTAGATTTTGCCCGCGGCTACGCTCGCGTTAAGAAATACATATTATTAATTAGGTATAGCTTTTTCAGCTTTACTTTTGTTAAGCATATAGGCATCCCGTATAACATAGGTAAGCATAACGTAGGGTACGTAACGTAGGTAATTGTAGCTTTATGCATGCAAGGTCTCGGCCCGATCGGTTTAAAACTGACAAAGTTTCATACAAACTTTCATCCCCTTTTTTATCCCCTTGTGGGTAAAATGAATCAAAATCCTTTGTTAGCGGATGTCTTCAGTCCGATCCGTCCAGTGGTTTGGGCTGTGCGTTGATAGAGGTCACTATATCAGTCACCTTTGAGTTTTATACATATGTATAGAATCATACTTTCATTAATTTATTTGAGGAAACCCAATTTTAAATTTGTTTTAGTTAAATAGTATGCTGTTTGACGTAAAATAATTATGACGTCACAATATTATGTTGGGACAAAGTAGGTATAACTTTATACTATGTTGGAATCTCATACAAAATTAGTGTTTTTGACATTTGGATAAAATTAGTAGAGAAGTATAGTTTTTGACATTTGGATAAAAGTATTAAATATGACTAATTGGAAAACACCAAATTGAGGTAGAGGTAGGTAGGTACAGATTCATAGATATAATTTTTCTAAACGCAAAGAAACGCTTTACTACGGTAATACCTGTGGTAATACTATTTAGATACTAGTAGGCGTTACCCTATTGCAGATTTTCAGATGATTTAAATATAATTAAGTATTAAAATACCCTTTTTATGGTGCCGGAAAAAACACTGCCAATAAGGCGGCAAGAGTACCGTTACATTTTTAAATTGTACGTTCATCATCGGCGTTCCAGAGGTCATTGACCTAACAGGTTTAGGCAGATATACTTATATTTAAAGAGTGATAGATTATTGACAAAAATCTATACTAATATTATGAAGCTGTAGAGTTTGTTTCTTTGTTTGAATGTACTGGGCAGGTCACATTAGTCAAAGAACAGATGACCGTTGGAGTAGACGTGTTCTAGAGTTGAGACCACGTCTAATTTACTTACGTATGAAATAGTAACCAGGGATCCGTCCCGGCTTCCCACTAGTGCAATGTTGAAAATCTGCTATTTAGTCGAAGCAATCATGCGTATACTAATACTTACATATAAATTTTCCTCTTCAATCACTCTAGCTATTAAAAAAACGCTCATCAACATCCGTTTCGTAGCTTTAAAGATTTAAGCTTTGGTACGTGCTCAGACGGTGTCCTATAGGGCTGATGTTCAGCCGGGGTTGCGGGTGCGGGGCAAGCGCAATAAGGAACCGCGGCCTTGAGCTAGAGCAGGAGAAGGAACGGAGGGGTTTTTAGTCAGTAAGACTGACACTCCCTCCCCCCACCATGTGTGGGAAAGCTATTTGATAATTTTCCTCTCAGAAAAACAGCCTAGTTATATATATATATATAAGGATATAGCCCAGGTTATATGTGTTCTGTGGGATATAGGGACAGAAAAAGCGACTTTATTTTATACTAGGTGTGTAAGTATCGATTACATGGGACTTTCGCACTACTCACACACCGGTGCTATTGATTTGTGTGGTAGCACTCCTAGCGGACGATTCGGGTACTAAAACAGTCTTTCAAACTTAAAGGAATAACAAAACGCATATAATTATATTTTTATTGATATAATTTTGTACAAATAACGGCGTATATTACATCGGACAGGTCTCACATACAAAACTAATGCTAGTCAAGCTATGTCACAAGTAGTTACTACGTATGTATCGATATTTTAAACACAGTCGCGACGCACGCTTCACTCAACTCCGCACCTCATTGTAATGTGACGTCATTTTGCATTTTTTAGGTTATATTTTTATAAGTCCGATTAGCGTTTTGTTTCGTTGCTAGTTCTGCATATGTAGTATGGTAAGTCTTTCCAACGAGGTGCCAAGCTAAATGAATCGGGTCATAATTATGCTCTGAAAAATGTTTCATTTACAAAAATGTCTTTATCAAAAGCCGGTGTTAGCTAATTTATATGAATGGCGACAAGCGCAGGGATCAATCCAACAGAATATCATACACGTAATTAATATTATTAATTAATTAAATATTATTATTGCACATTATCATATTGTTTCGTTATAAAATTCATTTTTTTATTTCGTTATTTAAGTATTTTTATTTAAATAATTTAACAATTTGTTGGTTCTGATAGGTACGAGTATAATATATTATCCAAAAGTTCATTTAAAATGAGTTACATTTAACTCGAATACACGGTCAAATTAAATGAACTAGCAATGTCATCGCAAATGAAATTGTTCAGTCAACAAATGAGAGACCACAATAAAGATATGTAGATATTTATGTAAATAATTTCCACACCCTGTGAAATACTATAATTGACGAAAATTATTGGTGTAAATGAAATCCCAGTAAAGGGCATTTAGGGTTTGTATCGATTCGCTTGCTTGGCTATTGTTCAATGGCTGACAAATTGATTTACCTACTTAGACATAAACTTATGTATTATTTTTTATTATAAAAACAAATGAATATCTCTCCCGCACAAAAAAATAAAAATAAAAAACGATCACGAATCTCAATTGATAAGTAGGTAATAAATGAACAGTGGTTATTAATGTGAATTATAATTTAAAAGTGACGGATATTCACCGTAAATTAGAATATCGGCAGATTTTTCAATAGTCAGATAAATGTAATCTTAGGAATAAAATTGTTGTTGTCACTGTCTTATACAAACATTTTGACGAGACAGCACGATAATTATTCCGCGGATAACTTTTATCTAACCAATGAAAAATCAGCCCTATGTCAAAAAGTATCATGGAGCCTTCTTACTGATGATCAGACCTGGTTCCATTCAGCAACCACTGAACAACAGACAAACATCGATACCTATCGTTTATACATACAAAGCGCGTTACACTACCGATAGATATAAATATACATATGTATCGACTATATTATGACTAACCGTGCTAGATCCGAAGCAGATCAAGTGGCGAAACCAAGCTAGTCAACACACGCCGGGAACAAACAGCTTCAATGCAAAAACACCGGAACATTACAATCCATTAACATTTTGATAACATTCAATGGAACATTTAGCCACATTAACATACGTATTACCTGACGGTAATCAATCAGCGCCGCCCGCTACAATGGAGTTACGGTTGCGTTGCTGTTGGGGATAAGGGTTTTAGGGATTTAGGGATTGGGCAGGAAAAGGATTGGGTTTCCAGTAACTTCACTCACACGGCGAAACACAACGCTGTGGTTGTTTCATGCTGGTTTTCTGTGAGGCCGTGGTATCACTCCGGTCGAGCCGACTCATTCGTGCCGACTGCTGAAGCATGGCTCTCCCACACTAGTCTTAAATGTCGAGTAAACAAAACAAGTAAATGACAAAGACAATAAAATATCAAAAAATGAAAATTTTCTTAACGATTAATTTATATCTTTTTTTTTAAATTGCGTTGAAATGAAGCCGTAGTCTGTTCGCAGCGAAATAATATAGTTCCCGGTCTTAAGTATAAAAGCTCAATAAATATTATAATATCATCAAACTCTATTGTACTACTTACAAATGTTCTAAAACCACGTTCATTATGAAAATGTTTCCGATATACAAACGCTATGTATGTATACTTATTCAACTATTTCTGCGTGGACACGGCTGGGATAGGATTTCGAATTATTGTGGTATGGTATCTGCCATTTTAGATTTAAAACATTTTCCTTTCGTTGTCGATGTTCAATGATATATAAAAGGCCAAAAACTCGAAACATTCCCAACCAAATCCACGCGTTTTTATAAAATACACCCACTTCGTAACAAATTGTGATTAGCTATGAAACAAAATCATTCCTTACAAAATGATACTGCGTGCAAACCACTCGTACAACTAGAATTTTATTTAATTTAACATTACAAATAGTTTTTTTTTATATATCTACTAGATAGTAAAGCACTTTGAAAAGTTATTCCATCGTACATGGAAAATAAATTAAAATTATAGTATACTCAATGATTAAATTAAATAAGAGTAAAAATACAAATGAATATAAAAGGTGACAGATTCTGAAACCCGCAGTTACTTATTCTAAATTGACTAGAGTATTTATTTTAGAACTAAAATTAAAACCACTGGGGTAAACATGAGAGTTTCATATCAAAAAGTTCGTAAGTATTGTTATTAGATTATTGCCTCCGACATTTAATTTACATTGATATGTAGCAGCGGAGTTATTTGGTCGTAGGTAAATTACGTAAATCGAAAACCGAAAGCGACTCCTGACGACAAACGAAGACAAATCTATGAGACACACCTAACGCTAAATGTAACACTGGTTCATTTAACGTCGAAGGAGTTAGAATGAACTTTTTGAACGTTAAATGAAGTCGGAAGATAGTAACAAATGGGATCGCATTCACTTAAATGAAGTCGGCGGTTCATTTAAATGAATAGGGCGGTCCTAGGGCGCGCAGCGGCCGACGTTGTTGGTGATGGTATGCGGCAGCTTGGACAGCGACAGCGGGATGTCGAAGTCCCCGCTCAGCGAGATCTGCGACACGCACCCCACCAGCCCGCGCGCGTACCGACCGCCCGTACTCAGCGAGATGGACGGCAGGCCGCCTGCGACACACAACCATATTAATATACATATAACTTTTCAACACACTTCTTTATAAATTAGGTCTTATCCCAATGCAATTAGGCACAAAATGACACCTTAGTATAATCAAACTGTGACTTTTTAATTTACTGTTATTCACGAGTGAGTAAAATTGGTTTCGCAGTACGCTACACTTGGGCTTAAATAGTATTCGCGAAATGCCCAAAAAAACTTTTCACACTTGTACCATATTGTACTATTGCATAACTTATACATTATACAACTATATAACTTTACTATTTTGTCAAATATTCGTCGAATGATTGTCCACAGTAAAAAAAAAATTAATCCAATTTTTGTTGTAAAATTTTCTACTAATACAACACGTCAAAATGTTGCATGATTACATGTACCTAAGTATTAACTTTTTCTAATTATAGAAATAAATATGCTACAGTTACAAAGTGTTTACGTAAATCTAGACTTTACGAGCACTGAGCAAACCAGTAGTGCCTGATAAATTAACAATAGCAATAAAATGTGCACTGATATCAAATCATTCTGTACTTTCCTTCAGGAGTTATAACCTCAGTTTTGAATTCGTCTTCCTCAATTTTTATAGAATTACCTTTGCTTTTACTACTTTGTCACACCTTTTTTGTGCCTTTGCAGCCATACATACACATCACACTCAGCCCCGAAACTATAATATGAGGATCACACAGAGTGGTTTCGTACGGGAATCGGACCCGCGACACGTTGCACGGCAGCCGGTTGGCCATCCACCGCGTATCGTATTGAGAACCACTTACTATACTCGGAATTTTAATTCCATTCCAGATTTGACAATTTTAGTGTTGCAACGTTATGACACGCAATAAAGTAAGTAGCCGTAATTTTTGAATGCCTTCCTGAAACAGATTCACTGATTGTTTATCGATTTTTGTGTTCATCACTACATTGTTATATGTGGTATCATTATTTCACAAAATGACAGTATGTCATGTCAAATCAGGAATCGAATTAAAATTCTGACTAGGCATAGATACCTATATAATATAATAAAATATATAGGTATAATAATAATCAGCCTATGTGTTAATCCAAAAGATTTTAACCAAATCGGTCAAGCAGTTTTTGCATAGAAGAACAACAAACATACAATTATACTTACATTCTCACAAAATTTCACATCTATAATATTAGTAGGACTTACCTATATACAGTCCGTTCTCAGTGTTGAGCTGTTTGAGTTTCCCGGGCGAGACCTTGCCGACTGAACCCAGCCCGTCCACTTCTAGTACGCCCGCTTGTCTGTTTCTGTAAGGAGAAGTGTCAAGTTCAATGTTCAATCTTGAAAAAAAAAACAAGAAACAAAGAATAAAAGACTAGGTACTTAGAGGATAGTCAGGCTTGGGAATGAGCCGCTGTAATGTCTGCACAGGTCATGTTGACATGTTTGTAACATAAGTTACACTTTTATATACAATTTGACATTACGTTTATTTTTTATACAATGACATAATTTGTATTGTGACATTTTTATTTTTTATTTGTCATTTTTTTTATTTATTTATTGTCATTTTTTTATTTTATATTATTGTTAGTGTAAGGACCGTGTGAGACTTGCCGTGCTTTTTGATTACCAGTTATCTGCGTTCTGACAGTTTGAGTACTTGCGCGACCCACCCAAATGTTCTTTAGATCGGTATTGTTCGTCGGACAACTCAGCAGCACTAGCTATACTGGTTGCTAACTGACACTTGCGTGCCTGTCTTCAGAACGGGTCCACTTAAACTAGTGTGGTTCTTTCCTCAAAAGACCACTACAGAATGAACTTGCACGATTCTCTCACATTATGTTATTTTACATTGTCTGGACTTGAAAAGAGACTGACCTCTGAGTTTGTTTCGGCATTTTTTCTCAGAGTAGTCAGATAGGAAATGCCGGCTTCATCTAGTTTTTCACATATAATTTGACGTGTAAAAGTGCCGTTTTATGGCCTATTTGCAAAAATAAATATTATTTCATTGTTTCAAAAGCTCCTATTTTAAACAAAATAAACCTAACCTAACTAACTAAATAATCCTTTATTCTTATAATCTTTATACTTATGTATATATAATTCTGCTGTACTTGTGTGTCATTGAATTCCTCCTGAACGGCTTGACCGATTGTATGCGTTTGAGTGGCGCCCTGGATGGTTTAGATTCACAAATCAGCCCGACAGATGGCGTCTTCACAAAAGGAGTATATCTTTGACTAATGTCTTTCTATGAAGTTCTTTTTATGAAGCTCATTGCCGCTGCTTTCTTTTCTAGCTCTAGGTACTAGGATAGCATAAAAAGATTTAATGTGTAAATAAATATCAATGATCAATTTATTCAAACACAAACCTCCATTTTTCTGATGAAGTCCATTTTACTGTTTCGTTTCTAGTATGAGGTACTAGGATAGCATAAAAGCGATGTAATGCGTAAATGCCTGGTGGCTCTCGCTCTGTGCCACATTCCGTCATCCACCTTCGTGTGGTTTGCAAAAATTAATCCATACAAATACAACCCTATTTTTCTGATTTAGTACCCCATGTTTACAGTTTCGTGTCAAATAAGAGGTACTAGGATAGCATAAAAGCGATGTAATGTGTAAATACCTGGTGGCTCTCGCTCTGTGCCACAGCCCGTCGTCCACCTTCGTGTGGTTCGCAATGATCACCACCTCCCCGCTACCGAGGTCGTACCTGGAACAGTTACATCTCTTGTAAGAACACAGACGTCAACAAAAGTTTGAACATTGAAGATCCACTAACAGTCATATTTTACATACATTTATTTATTTATTTATTAAGCTTTATGCACACAAACTTCTGTACATAGGCGGACTTAATGCCGTAGGTATTATCTACCAGTCTGACCGTTGGGTGATGCAGAGATGAGTAAAAACGGTGAGCGCAAGCAACATTTTTAAAGATTAAAGACAAAAACAAAGACTCAATACAATAATGTATAAGTTTAAACAAATACAATAACAATAATATATAATCTTACATAAACTAATAATGACATTATACTAACTTTTACACTTTCGCGTTTCAACATAATTATATTAGGTATATTAACATGTATTAACGCGAAAAGTACCTATTTTTTTAAATATCTTTTCAAGTTAATACCCGCGTAATTATATTATGTTATAAACATAATGCAGAAAACTTTGCTCAATGTTTAAAAAACTGCCTTTGATAAATTCGTCTAACAATATCATGGTTTGGCTGCAATATTCTAATTTTACACGGAAAAGAATCACGGGACATTTACGATTTCAATTTTAAGTTTTTACCAAAAATTCGGTACCTAATTGCAAAATTAATACAAACGGTTGCACAGAAAATTGGCTTAAAACAATGCTGGGAATGTATTTGATTTCGATCCCATCCCAAATATCCCCTCCTATCCGATTACCTCAATCCACGCATTTGTAACTCCTTGATGTTGAGGGTATCCATGGGCGACGCCGATTGCCATTACGTAATAAAAGCTGTAAACATTGTAAGAAATGCTTACCTGAATACAAGTACAGAGTTCTCAATGGCTAAGGACAAGAAGTCAGGCGGAGACCGTGCCCCGCCACTCCACACCAACAGGCCATGTGATGACACTGATCGAAAACGGATGTTTATGTCCAGCGAATAGCTCACCAACCTGGAATATTACAAACAACATCTGGTTATTTTTCTCAGTCAAAAATAAATAGGTACCTTCAAGATTTAAAACAATTAAATATTCGAACGTAGTAGGGATAGCGACTAAAAGATAATAATTAGTCCATCTTTTAGAACGCCAGAAAATAGTAGATACGTATTTTTCTTTTGCTTCTAAAACTTAAAATAACAAAGTTAAAGAGCGGAGAAAGTCCGCGCTACGTCATTATTTCATAAAATTTTTACGAAAGAGTGACGTCACGAGCCCCTACTCCTGAATTTGAATGTGCTGTATCTTTGTCAATATTATTCGTAAGGACAAATAAAAAAATACGTATCGAGTATTTTTCTGTAATCTAACTGACGGACTAATTAGAATATTGTTGTTTTAACCCAGGAGACATCCCTATTATACTTCATTGAGAGTCCAACGATACACTTTCGATTTTCAATTCTTTTATTGGTTAGGTACATTTTTATTTTTATAATTTTCCTTTATTGCAGTTTGTCTTAAATATGATGACGTCACATTTCTGTTTTCCATACCAAATACAAACAACAAATTTTTGAGTATAAACTCGAAATCGTGAGACATACAAAATTTACTGAAGGTAACGACTTACTCACGTGAAATAACCGAGAAATGCCCTACTAGTTTCAAGTCACCAAGGGACTCTTATTCGTGAGCAGCGTGGGCGGTGCCGATTCCTTACCATTAGGTAATCCGTCTGCCCGTTTGCTTAACCCATAACCAAAAAAAAAAACGTTTTTTTGTAAGTGTAAAATCATCGTGGCTAATGTCGTGGTGGCCCGGAGGAATGTCGTGGTGGCCCGGAGGTTAAGCAGCCCGCTTCTCATGCTCGTGTCGGTTCGAAACCTGGCAAGTACCAATGTGACTTTTTCTGAGTTATATGTACTTTCTATGATTATTTAGACACCACTGACATACGGTGAAGGTAAACATCGTAAGGAAACCTGGACTTATAATTTCGAAATCGCCAACCCGCATTGAGCAAGCGTGATGATTAATGCTCTAACCTTCTCCGTATGAGAAGAGGCATGCTCAGCAGTGGGCACTTATAGGCTGATAATGAAAATCATCAAGTGACATCTCCCGTCCAGGGTGAGTTGAGACTTGAGAGAAAGTGTCAGACTCTTACTGACTAAAACCCCCCGTTTCTTCTCCTGCTGTGAAAACAAATGGCTTACCGTTTCATAGTATCCTCATCATCGATGTGTATGAAGCTATCAGTGCCTGTGAAGCTGGGGTACGTGTTCATGTCGCCCCAGTTGACTTCGTTGTCACTCAAGTACTTCACTTGCATGTAAGTCTGCCCATCATAAGGCAGGTCTGTTGCAACTTCATTGTTCCTCTCCAAGTCTTCTAGCAGGTACTGGTGCTTTTTACTGATGAAGTATTTCTTCTTCTTGTACTTGTCCATGTTGTGTGAGTGCTTCTTGTGACTGCCTTTATGGATCTTCTGTTTAAAACCTTTCTTCGCTACTATGGAGTGGTGTGGTTCCGTCTCCGATATGTTGTGTGGGTACACTGGTGGGTCTGGTACTTCTTTGCATAGGTTTTTGTTCCTGTAATTATTTAAACATTATGTAAAAGTTCCATTTTAATCACTCTATCTATTTAAGAACCCGCATCAAAACCCGACTAGCGGTTCCAAAGATTACCCCTTACATACAAACTTAAAATTTCAAATTTTATCTCTTTATAATATGTTGGCCAATCAGCCAGTGTTACAGTTCCAAAGTTGAATTCTAAGAAAACAAAGTAGATTGTATTACTTACGTGCAGTTGTTACCAGCATCGTCGCAGTTGTCCACGTTGAGTCCGCCCAGCGCCGCTGACACTACTGCTAGCTCTTCGTCATTGATTATCAGCTGTAAGCCAATAGATAACATATAAGGTTTTCTTATCGATGTTCTGTATGTATGTACCTACATATATTCTTAAGTTAAGAAAGTTGAGTTTGAAGTTAAAAGATTGATCGATTAGCATTTAAGGCTGATGTGAAAATGGGAACTACGAGAGCTCCAAAATCCCTACTTAGGTTGTTGTGTCATGTACATATATTTATTTACGCGGATATTACCGCGGAATATTATTTGAATACCTTGGTGGGCTTGACGTTTCGACCCGGTTGTAAAGGTCGTGGTCACAAACAGACTGCTTAATAACCGCGTAAGTAAATGAATTTATGTTGTTAATATGAAACGCGAAAGTTAAAAATTTAGTATGTTCATATATGTGACAGATCGGCAAACGAGCAGGCGCATTACCTGATGATAAGCAATCAGCACCGCCCAAGTAGTTACTACAAATGCATTGCCAACTTTTTGTGGGTTATAAGGCATCTACAGTAAGGGAATTTGGGGATTGAGGATGGGTGGGAGGAAGGATAGATTGAAGATGACTGAATTACACGGCGAAATACAACGTACGTGTTCTTTCACGCCGGTATCCATTCGTATTAAGCATAACTCTCCCACACTAGCTAAACTAGTTTGAGAGTCTTAGCTACCTGTGAGACGCATCCACTGAAGGAGGTGTCGAGTGCGAGCCTGTCGGGCAGCGGATGGGGCGCGCCGCCCAGCAGCAGCGGCGTGCGCAGCGCGAGGCGGCGCCGCGTGCCGCGTGACGTCACCGACCGCGCCGCCCCACCCCCGCGCACGCGCAGCGTCGCGCGACGACCTGCCCGTGATACTGACACCGAGTGCCATTTGTTCGCTTCCACTGGGTACGCTGACCTGTAAATCGAGAATTGCCAACATTAGCATACTTTTTTCAAGGAATAGTTCGGTAAACGAGCTGACGGATTACCTGATGGTAACCAATCGGCTCCGCCTATGGACATCTGCAACACCAAAGGAGTTACGAGTACATTGCCGGCTTTTGAGGGATAAGGGATCTGTATCGTTACTTTAGAGTAACTCTATCATTACTCTTTATAAGTACATTGCCTACGTATAAATACGACGCAAACGCTTGTCACAAACCGCCTATGATCTGTGTCCAAAAACAGATACCAGACCAGATCGCCGTCAAGCTATTGCAAGTTCTTGCAAATCACGTCAAACACCCTGTTCACACACTTGTGTTTGTGGACGTTTGCCAAGTCTCGTCAAGCATATGAGCGTTCCCTCCTTCTCCAGCTTTTACAAGTATAGTCTTATTTACCTGACGAGGGCGATTCCAGCTCCTAGGTCGAAAGCGAACTCGACGTAGTAGTCCCTTAAGTGCAGCGAGAAGAAGTCTCCGTCACCGTCAGCGCGCTCCGAGTTGTAGAGCACCAGTCCGTCGCCACTGCTCGGCTTCAATGTTATCTGGAATGAGAAGATGGTGATAATAGTCCTTGTATTTTAAACAACCAAAACCCAAGACAAAAAACAAAAACAAAGATAAAGGGGCTGCACCTTAACAAACCTTGACTAAAGCTTAGGGCCAATTTGGCAAATGGGGCCAAACTAATTAGTAGTCTAGGCCGTGGTGTGAAGAAGGAACTATCCTCCTCAGTAGGCGCCGCAGTAGGCGACATTCCGGGCGTCGGGGATCGAGAGATGATCTCCGGCCACCGTGAGCGCGAGTCTGCGGACGGCGAGTAAGGGTATCTCGCCACCCGACCAGAACCAGACCCGAGCGTACGGCGCGTAGCGTTCCGCGCGGGCCTCAAAGAGCCAATGGACCACCACAGACGGGGCCCTTTAAGCTGATGTTTAGCCGGGGTTGCGGAAAAGCGCAATAAGTCACCGCGGCCTCGGCCCAGAGCAGGAGACGGAACGGGGGGGTTTTTAATCAGTAAGAGTCTGACACTCTCTCTCGCCCTGGGTGTGAGAAGTCATTTGGTGATTTTCCCATGACAAAAAAAGGCCGTAGTATGGAGCGAAAGGAACCGGAAAACCATGTCCTACATTTGCGAAGCAATCAGGCTTGCAAAGAAGAAGGCGGAGGTCGTAAAGGAACAATACTCCTTAGGCTGCAACCGCCGCAAAAGATACTATGGGATCGGGGATCGTGCGACGATATCCAGCTCCCATCGCGTCAAGTCTACGTATCGCGTTCTTCACATGCCTCAGAGAGCCATCAGACTAACACAGATAGAGCCCACTTCAGCAGCCGGGGTTACAGGTGCTTCAACCCGGATCAAGAGAAGGAAGGAGGGAAGTTAATCAGTTAAAGTCCTGCTTAACATAAGTTGATATTTATCGCTCAAAAAGCCCCAACAAGCAGACAGCTGACCTGACGGTAAGCAATTAATGCTGCACATACGTAACAGCAGAGCAATTGCAGCAGCAAGTGCCTTTAATTTTTGAAAGCTTTGAAAATTATTGTCATCAACTGTGTTTTCAGTGTGTGTGTTAAGTGTGGGAGAGCCATGCTTCGGCACGAATGGGTCGGCTCGACCGGAGTGATACCATGGCCTCACAGAAGACCGACGTGAAACAACCACAGCGTTGTGTTTCGCCGTGTGAGTGAGGTTACCGGAGGCCCAATCCTTCCCCGCCCCCAATCCCTCCTCAATCCCTAAATCTCCAAATCCCTAATCCCTAAAAGGTCGGCAACGCACTCGTAACTCCTCCGTTGCGGGTGTCCATGGGCGGCGCTGATTGCTTACCATCAGGTAATCCGTCTGCTCGTTTTGCCGATCAATTACATAAAAAAAACTACTCCATTACAAATGTTATTGTAAGAAGGTAAACTTATATTTTTAACGAACCAACAGTTTGGTTCAATACAAAAAGAGGCAGTATATTAACGAGTCCAACTTTTCCAGCATACAAATTGCTTGTTCTAGATACTTAAGTATACATATTTACTGAAGCAACCGAGCGAAATATGTTTGTGTATTCGAATAAATGATTGCATCGCATTGAATATTTCCGAAGCTCCGCATTGCTTTGTGAAACAATGAAACAATGCTGTAATACTACAAAGTTCTTGTAAACTTTCGGAACGTACGGTTCCACGGATTCGTTACGTTCGAAACAGCAATTGTATTTATATTTTGTGCAGTTTCGATATGAACCAGATTGCCACAAAATTGTATGTAGGTACTTATGACAATTTAATGTCGGAGTGATACCACGGCCTCACAAAAAACGTTAGTGAAGCAACATTTACGATGAGTTTCGCCGTGTGACTGAGGTACCGTAGGCTGATATTTTCTGTCCCCATCCTCATTCCTCAAACCCCCTACCCTTAAATCCCTAACAACCCACAAGAGCCCGGCAGCGCACTTGCCGGGCGGCGCTGATTGCTAACCACCATTTCTGATAAAAGTTTGCATATTTTTTTGAGAAAATTAGTTTATAACCTTTCTCGGAACTGATCGAATCATAGAAAGTCCAAACAATGCACTAGTGCACGCAACCCAGACTTAAACTACCATCATCATCATCTTCCTACCCTTGTCCCGTTTTATTTGGGGTCGGCGCAATATGTTTTTTTCTTCCATTCTGTCCTGTCACTCGTCACGCTATAACTAACTCCTCTGTCTTCCAGATCACTTCTCACACAATCCATCCATATTTTCTTTGGTCTCCCCCTCCCTCTCCATCCATCCACATTTAACAACCTAGACTTACACTACATGAAACCAAATTTAAATATAATAGAGTTCACAATTGCAAAGCAGTAGATTGTAAATTAAATTCTTTAGTGGTGCATTTGTAATTAAAAACGTGACGCACGTAAAAACGCGAATAACGAGCGCAGTTCACGTTTCATAGCCTTTCGTAATAATAGGAGCTCGTAAACTACCATAACAAGAACTTATACTTCGAAAAAGTGAAGCAATTGAGAGAAATGTACTACAAGGCGATGGAGATGCTCCTAGTTAAGTCCAGATACAGCCGAGAAACAGATTTCTTTTCATTACATATTGCAAACTTATGAACTTGCTTTTAAAAACCTGTGAAATTAATAATGTTTTAGACTTTTAGGTTAGGCTATTTAGTTTTACACTATTTTTACATTTTTGATTATTCAAAAAAAAAGGAAAACACACAAATTATTAATATACTAAAAAACTCCGTTTTTTCCGTTTTAGGAACAGCAAACTAGGTCGAATAGAACCGTTGCGAACCTGAAATCGAAAAAAGGTATGTATATGACCCTTGTTATAGCTCCCGATTCCTAAGAAAATTATGATAGGTACACTATTGAAATTAGTATCAGAATTGGTCCAATAAATTACTGTACCCGTGTTCCGATCGGAAACCTATTTGTTTGCTGCTGTCGTTATATAATTTATCTAAGACGTTCCGAACCAGTGGCCTTTGCTTTCGAACTGGCGATGCCGGCCCATTTCGAACTATTGATCTGAATTTCGAATCCTCGAAGATATTAGAGCATTCGCAGGATCGTAGCCGTTTCTATTCTCTATTGAATTTATGATGGTTTGAGGCTGTTTGTCATTCACTCCTCTATTATTCCTGCTCGAATGAGGTTTTAGTATGGATGCAACGTTTGGTATAACTAAACTTCTATAGTATGTATGTACCATCCATTTTAGTTACCGACAGAGTAGATTATTCATATATGTACATATATACATATTGTTTATTGCATTCAATAATGAGAATGAGGCTGGAAAGGAAATAAAATTGTCACATTTATGGTCCCTGGTGGGCATAGCAAACTATTAATAAGAAGAGAAGAAGGCATTTTATAATGTACAGGTAGTATACCATATTTATTTTAAAGGTACCTACAGTACACCAAACTGCTTTTTTTGTCAAGTGAAAATCATTAAATGTCTTCTCCTGCCCAGGGTTAGGCGAGAGAGAGTGTCAGACTCTTACTGACTAAAAAACCCCCGTTCCTTCTCCTGCTCTGGGCCGAGGCCGCGGTGGCTCATTGCGCTTAACTCGCAACCCCGGCTGAACATCAGCCCTATAGGTCCCCATCTGTGGTGGTCTATTGGCTCTTTGAGGCGAGACACCAAACTGCTAAAGGCTATAAAAAACTTCTTCAAAAGAAATGTAGTACTTAGATCCGTTGATTGAAAGTTTAGAAGTTTTAAAATATATTAGGAGCTCTCCAGACACTTTTAGTTTATAACCAGACATATCAGACCACACATACGTGTGTGCAGGCCATTAGCTCACACAGTAAGGCTGTGCAGGCAATCCAAAGCACCTGAGCCTATAAATTTATAGCCTAACTTTTAAGTGTCTGCTAACGTTAATCAAAATTATATTTGATCCGGAGTTTCGTTGAAAGCTTTTAAAAAGGGAAAACTTTGTTTGGAAATATTAGGCGAGCACTCGTTTACACTTTGTTTAAAGATCAACACTGAGTTGGATGGACGGCCATATTTTTCAACTTCGTAATTTATGGGTTTCCGCAACCAATTTGTTGGCGGTTCTTCGTTTTCTTTCGGCTTATGGCTGACCTTGGATTCGAATATCTTTGTTTCTATAATCTATTGTATATTTACGTGGAATTATTTCTTGACTACACGAATACTCTACGTCTGAACACATCTGAGCTGTTACTGCATCACATCACATATACAATTGCTCAAGGCGGATTGGCGATATCAAACTTTCAAACGGTAATTAGAAATTATAACCAGGTTTTCTCACCACGTTTTCCTTCACCGATACTTGATACTACATTATTACCAGAAATAAGTAAAACCAAAACGCAACTTATATAATAGCGTAGTCTAGCACTACATTATTCAACTGTTTACTAAGTTGTTTGTCAACATATAATGGTAAGGGCTGTTTTATCAATGGTTAGATAAAAGTTATCTGAGGAATAATTATGATGCTGTCGCGTATATCGCAGAATATTTGTATAAGACAGTGACAGCAACAATTTTTTTCGTCAGAAAACATTTATCTGACAATTGAAAAATCAGTCTTAAATTTCACAAGGAACATTTCAGGTTAACAAAAACATGTAGGTATATCCCTTTACCTGTATATCAAGCCAGGACTCAGCAGCGCTTCCCAAGCCCGGCAGCCGAAGATATGAGGAGCCATTAAAGCGGGGCACCTGCAATAATAAACATGTCGACGTCACAACGAGGCTTCCAATTAAACACAAATATTGTCATTCACAAAGATAACTTTAAAATAAAATTGACAAACGACGGCCTCGTGACGGTTAATTTATTCATTGGTTACTGTGTGTGTGTGTCTGTGTTCATCCTGAATTGTGACTTCATTCTCGATAGTGATTAATGATCTTTATTTTCTGTTTGTTGTTTTTAATCGAATTAAGTCTCAGTGGTTAATGTCTATTAATGTTTTCTGTAGCACCAGTCTTGTTGTTGTGATGAATTTGGTCTTAATACGAAACAATCTATTCCGTTTAAATGTTGATCATCAATAATTACTATCCACGAACATTAGATTGTAGCAGTTCGTATCACTTCATAGTATAAAATATCCCTTATATCGCTATGTATGCTTAAATCTTATAAACTCCGCAACGGATTTCGTTTTGTTAGCTCGTCTATATATACTAATATAATAAAGAGGTAAGTAGGAGGTAATCTTTGGAACCGCTGGTCTAAAATTCTTTGACTGTTAGATACCTACAATTTTCCTTAGTGCTATAGGCTATCAAATATCACGCTTTGATCAAATAGAGCAATGCAGCGGTTCAAACCGCGCGAGTAGCTGGTCATTAATAAAAAGCAGATTTTTAAAGAGAAAAAATAAAACAAAAAGTGTAGCTAAATAAAAATCTGTTTAACAAAAGAGGCAATTGTACATATTAGCATAAATACGCTGTAAGTAAAATGGGCCATTCTGTTTGTAGAAGCAAAGTGAAAGCAGCTTACATAGTTGTTAAGTTAAAGGTAACATCTTATTACCACAGAACAAGGCAACGGGAAACTACAGAACGCTTTAATTTGTTCAAATATTCTTTTGAACAACAAACTTTTTAACACAAAACGGACTTATTAAAAAAAGTCGTCGTTGTTTAAGAGCGCGGAACAAAACTATCGCTTTTTTCCGCAGTCCAAGAGAACATTGGGAGCGCTACAAGTCTGGACGACGGAGAAAATTTCTCAAACAAAGTTATAAAAAGACAAAAGTATCTAAGTGGGTAGTCTCCCGGCTCATTTGATTTATGAAAGGAGTATAATAAAAGGAAGGAAGCACTCGTTTTCTTGAGACACGTTCTTGCGAAGTAGGTATTGGGAGAAGTAATGGTTTCGCATGAAACTTGTGTTGACGAAGAATAGTTTGTGCGTCTGAGGTACCTATATTAAAACACTATAGGGCATTCTGGGCATTTTTGGGCATGGGTATAGGGCAATATGTAATAGTCCAATATGTAATAGGAGGGCAAAGAATGGTAATCAATCAGTGCAACCCATAGTTACCCGCTAAAGTTACAAGTGCGTTGCCGAAGTTTTGTGGATTTAGGGATTGGGGGAGGGGAACGATTTGGCTTCCGGTAACCTCACTCACATGGTGACAACGCCGTGGTTTCATTACGGCCTTAGTTAGGAGCAGAAGAAGGAACGGGATAGTTAACACATGGAACATGGATGGCATAGGGGACAACATGTGGGCCGCGCTAGTGGATTACCTTCAACTGTAATCTGTAATCTGTCTGACACTCCCTCTCAGCGAGAGAAGTCAATTGACGATTGTCCATGGTATGGACTCCATACACAAAAGACGGACAGTATATACCTATATCAATCTTGGACACTTAAAAACAACTGTTTATAAAAATAAACTTAGCAGTTATCAGTTGCATCATAATCAGCAAAGCACTAAATGACTCATACAAAGGTTTCATCATCATCAGCCTATAAGTGCCCACTGCTGAGCAGAGGCCTCTTTTCATACGGAGAAGGTTAGAGCATTACTCACCATGCTTGCTCAATGCGGGTTGGCGATTTCAAACTTAAAATTAGAAATTATAAGTCCAGGTTTCCTCACAATGTTTAGGTACCTTCACCGTATGTCAGTGGTGTCTAAATTTTAATAATCATAGAAAGTACATATAACTCGGAAAAGGTAATATTGGTACTTGCCAGGTTTCGAAAACACACTCTCATGCATGAGAAGTGGGCTCCTTAACCTCCGGGCCACCACGACATTTTTAAATGACAAAGGTTTATTCTTGTCTAAAATATTAGTTAAAAGTTGTTGTTTTGTTCGTAACGTAGAGATCCTAATAAAGAGTAGGCACGTTTTAAATTTTTTAACATATGCACCAATGAATTGGGCCAGAATATGTACACACAGAACAGAATAAGATTGATAAAAAAGAAAACTATCATCGAATTTACTCGTGTCAAAGAATCATCGTGGCTTACCTTCAAATCCAAAGTGATCTCGCACTTGACGCCCGCATACCCGAGTGGACACAGGCATACATTAGCAACACACCCACCGCCGTGCTGGCACTCGCACGACTTCTCCTTCCTATCCTCATTCTTCAGATCATTATCCACATCAGCTACAGCTCCAGCACTCTTATTATCTTTACCAAAAAGTGTCTTAACATCGTTGTAACTAGAGTAAGTTTTGAATGGCACGACGGAATTATCTAGTTTGTTTTGGTCGTGTGCTTTAGCTCGTTTGGCGTCTCTCATGACGATGTCGTTGTCTTCGAAGTGTACAATGTCGTTGATGTCGTATATGGCATGATCTTCTCTCTGTTGTGTTGATTCGCTTGTTACTTCTATTGGAGGTTTCCAAGGTGCTAGTGTTGGAGCACATTCCGCTGTGAACAAAAGATCTGGTTCAGTACGTTTTAAATATTTTATGAATAATCTTGATTTCATCGGGCATACGTGTGGAGATAAAGTATTTATTTATTTATATATACTTTATTGCACACATTATCTCTACAAAGAACTGGTTTATAACTATAGAGTGTGCAACGTAACGGCGGTTTTTTTACAAAGGGTGTTTTTCCAGGCAACCTTTGGAAGGTATTTTTAAATAATCCTGGGAATGGGCAGTCTAGTGTTTAATAAATTAACCATAGTAATCAATACTATATATCATATACCTACTTACAAATATATATATTATTTAACAAACATTTAGGAATGGTATTTATATATCCTGAGTTGTAAAAGTCCTAACTAGACTAGACTAAACACCTTTGCCTATATTTTTATTAAAATAAATGGTAAGCGTTTACCAATCAAAACATATATTAATTTAAACTAAAATGTCGACCAGTATAAAGCACTCTAATTTGCTACAATTAAGTCACAAATTGCAGTAAACAAATCAAACGATTAGCAATTAGCATACACAGAACAAAACAACGAAACACTATTATTAGATGAACGGCTGACGATTACGCATTCAATACGCGGCGAGATGGAATTTCATTATTCTAGCGAGCGCGGTATTAGTGGTAGTAATAAAATACGAAGGGATGTATGGACATATATAGTTTTACGTATATATGTTTACAGCATATTTTGATAATGTGAGATTATATTATTGCATGTACTAATATGTTTTTAATTCTATTGTTCACTCATACAAGTATCAGAGTACACCTTTTTTGTCAGGGGGAAATCATATCGACTTCTACCTCATGTTCCTTCTCCTGCTCTGGGTCGTGGCCGTGGCGCCTCATTGCGCTTGTCCCACAACCCCGGCTGAACATCAGCCCTATAGGGCCCCTGGCTGTGGTGGTCTGTTGGCCCTTTGAGGCGCGCGCGGATCGCTCCACGCCTTACGCTCGGGTCTGGTTCTGGTCGGGCGGCGAGCTACCCTTACTCGCCGTCCGCAGACCCGCACTTATGGTGGCCGAAATCGTCTCTCGATTAGAGTACACCTGGACTGCTACCATCTATTACAGTCCTCCGTCCACCTAAAGGTTGCCTAGTAGAGATTGCTTTTAGAGAGCCGCCTTTGTAACCTTTGTATTATTTAATTTTTTGGTATACGCATGTCAACTCTTTTGATGAACAATAAAGATTATTTATTACTTGTATTTTTTTACCAATTACGAGACCACAGCAATCTATTCACTCGGGCCTCGAAGACACCCAGGTTATACTTTTCAGGGAACACAGTCTCCGGCAATACAGCTCGTAGTTTCCCACTGGTCAAATTCAATACTTTTATCCAAATGTCAAAAACGATAATTTTCTATATGATTTTTTTATGAAAAACTGAGTTGTGACGTCATGGTATTTTTGCGTCAAATAGCCTACTTATTTCTTAATAATTAGTTAATAAATATCTATAATTGAAAATTTAGTGTATCGATCAATCGATGAATAAAAGTATATTTACCTATTTTTCAATATTTTATTGTATTGAAACGTCGAATTAATACAATTATGTTTGACCTAGGGAACTAGCCAATTGATTTCGTGCGATTTCAGGAATTCCATACAAATGATGTTGTTAATCCAAACATTCTCAATGCACGGTAAACATCCTTTTCTGACCGTGATACATATTTTAGTATTCATATACCTACACCAAAAGTTGAGCGGTTAAAATAGCATTTTACCTACACTCAAAATAAAGTTGGAAAACGTTGAAACTGAAAGCAAAAAAGTTTATACAAAATTAGTTATTCAATTTCCGTTGGTAAATGCGAACGGACTGAGCTGTGGCCCTAATTATTTATGTGGAAATTACCTTTACTTTTGTACATCATTTTACAATGTATACTGAGAACTCAGTTGGGTTTTAAACGGCTTTTACTCTGAAGTAGCTGACAGATATGTGCAATTTATATTTTATCATCATAAACATTAGGTCTACCATGGCGTGTTAATGCGTGGATCTTCCGAGCGAGAAAGAGGGGTGGAGCTATACAGCTTTTATAGCTTCATCTTCCTCCTCTGATGTTCAAATTCTGCCCTAAAGCTGTCAATTTTAAAACTAATGAATAGTTTTTTATGTGATAGTTTGGTAAACAAGCAGACATTTTACTTGTTGCTAAGCGATTGGCGGCGCCCCAATCGCAACAGCAGAGCAGTTATGAGTGCTTTGCCGGCCTTATGATGATTAGGGTTTCGTAGATTTAGGAATACTTTTTTTCACGCCATTTTCTGCGAGGCCGTGGTCAATCCGGATCCTGATCCATCCGTGCCGAAGCATAGCTCTCTCACATTTAATATCCTTATATTATATTTACATATAGTATATTTATTAAAATAACTCTAAAATAACATTTTTAAATATTACTATAAAATAAAATAAAATTATATTTAATAATATAAAAGTAGGAGCCAGCCGGCAGCGGGAGCAAGGTCCAAGCTACCGGCGGTTAGGGCTCCAGAGACAGGACTCCTCACAATACGTGCCGTTTTAAGGAGGACTGCCTTCTGTATGAGGCCCTTGATCCATCCGCCTAACTTCAGCCTCTTAAGGTGGTTGTCGAGGCTTTTGGGGACTAACCCGTTTGCCGACACAACTATCGGCACAATATGGTGTATGTATATAATATTTATTATTAATTTAATTTAATATACTTATACAAAAATCAACTTTAACATTTTTCGACTTGTGTTTTATCCTTAGTAATTACGATTGTGACCACTTGACCAATGAGGTGTCAAGTCAAATCTCTCAAATTTATGATCAAACCTGCAGTGTTTAAAAGTTGCAAATCATCCACACTGTACTTCCTTCTATAGTAATGGTGTGCGAGTTTGTCTGCCGGTGTAATCGTTCCATACCTCATCCTCATATCCTACGGCTTAAAGTTTAAAACTTTCCCCAGCGCAGGCACCACGAGGTGGTACATAACGTCCCATAACTTGAGAAGAAATCTCATTTATCACCGGCATACTTAATCTTGTAGTTGTCTGTCGTTTGCGATCGGTTCAAGTTATATAAATGTCTTCCTAGTCTGATGTGTTGGGATCATTCGTGCTAAGCTATCGATTCTGAAGGAATGTAATTCAAATGCATATTTTGTTTTTATTATTATTTAATTTCTAAGACACTTTTTACATATTCTTTTCTTTACATAATAATGTAGCCACACAATGTAAACCTATCAGGGTTTTTCTGTGTAGTGGCGAGTCGTTTTATACGTATCCAATAATTGTTTTTATAAGTAGTTAACGTTGTGTCAGAAAACGCTTACATTTGTATCTTTAGCTTTTCGAAAAGATCCTATATAGTATTTGCAATAATTTTTCTCGAGTTTATTTAAGAAGAAAGGTATTAAGTATTCTGCCATCCTTATTCAATAAACATTGTTACATATTGGTAATATGTATTTGTTTTGAAGTGGTATTGTTCTCAATATTTCTGGACTATCTTTAGATTAACATATTATTTTAACTTAATTGTTAACTGTTACATTAGCGTATTGGCGCAGTGGTTGAAGAGGCAACTCCAAAAATTGTACGGATTTGTTAAAAATAATAAGTTTCATATCGCGGATCCTCTTTGGGAGAGCGTTCGGTGCGTAGCGTTCCGCGTACGCCTCAAAGAGCCAATAGACCACCACCGACGGGGCCTTATGGGGTTGTTGTTCAGCCGGGTTGCAGGGTTAGCGCAATTACGGCACCGTGGCCTCGGTCCAGAGCAGAAGAAGGAACGCGGGCGTTTTAGTCAGTATGAGTCTAGACACTCCCTCCCGCCCTACCCTGGGCGGGAGAAAACCTTTGATAAAAACATTTTACGATAGATATTAATCGGTCGGTACTACAGCCTACAACAAAACAATTTAAAATCATTAGGGTTTTCTTGCCACGATTTAGTATCTTCATAAACTTAATTCTACGTAAAAGCTGAAATTAGCTCACACTTTCACGAGTAACTAAGATCATAATACTTGATGTTACGCGTTACGCGTTGTACGAGAATGAAGTTGAGAATTTACCCGCATGTGAGGTTACTCGATCTACCGAACCAACTTCTGACTACATAATGAGCTCCAAGTTTTAAACAACTCACTTCGCATCGTTTTCTAAGAATTAATCTTTACCTATACTTAATTATAATGAGTGGGTAGGTACCTAAGTAAACGAAACACGTCATTATTTTCATTGGAATTTTTAAAGGGAACAGCTTCATTTGACGTGAAATTAATTAGCTAAAGAAACTTCGAGATGTTTGAAGGAAATTTCTTGAATTGAAAAATCAAAACTTTTACAAAGGCACCTATGTTTAATAACAAGGTAATACAAAGTTGAATGTAAGCAATCTGTCGGGAAATTACTTACAAATAGAATCCCCTTTGTCCAGTTGGCGTAAGGTATAAACCTTTTCTCTATTGTACCCCGGTTTCTTAGTACGCCAATCTACCCCGAATCTTTCCGGCAATGTTCACTACTTCAATGGGCAGCGAACGCAACCTTTTTCAATGCACGTTGTAACGTGTGCTGACCTACATACTTGTAAAAATGGAAATGAGGGGGCTTGGAAAGATACCAGAGCTGTGGCTTTGACATGAAGACAATTATTCAAAATATTCTTCCGGGATTCATGGCGAGTTTGGATCAGAAATGTGTTATTTGGTTGTGTACGGTTTCCCATAAATGGTGTCGAAATAATGCATAGCAGTTTTAATACATATATGCAACATATCTTTTTATTTATTTAAGTACTTATAAATTGTGCATAGTATTTGTGCAAAAACTTGGACTAAATGCCACAGGCATTCTCTGCCAGTCGAACCAAACAAGTAGGTGCAAGAAGCAAGCAAAATTAAGATAATTAAAACTATAATATATATATATTTTATACACTTAAATTATTTTAATTTAAGTGTATAAAATATAT